AGCACTCGATCCCCTCATCCAGATCATCAAATAATAATATAACTTAAATATAAGTAATTTAATATTATAATATAACTTTAATAATATAGCATAAGTATAAGTAGTTTTCTGACCAATAGAAGATCACCTCACCAGGGAGGGTTTCAGGAGATAACATCACATTTAGAGCTGAGTGTGTATTTGCTGTAAATGACCAAGCTTTCCAGTTTTTGTTACATCTAATCTGATGCTTGAATTTTTCTGAAATTCATTATTTGAAATAATTTTATCCAGACTTGTTTAGGCTATGAGTTGCTTAGCATCACTTCACTGGATAAACTTTTTGCGTATTTCTTAGTTTGCTGGCTATACTATTGTTAGAGCAGTCCAAAAGTCTAAGCCTTGAGTTATTTTAAGAAAAGATGAGAATTTTTATGTAGTATATTTTTGGGAAATAATTCATTACAAGAGAAAAGAACTGCTTGAAACTTAGTGGAATTCCTCTTATCTATGAAACTAATGAAAATTACATTCTTCATTAATGGTAATTTTTTTTCCAGATTATCAATATCTAAGATTATTTTTTCCCCTGTAGCATTAAGGAATGTCTAGGCCAGTTTATGATAGCTTGAGTGTGAGTACTTTTGTAAACCACTGAGACCCGGTTAGAGAAATTGAAATATTGGGTTCTTCAGGGTTTTTTTTTATTGTGGTTACTTTTTTAATGTCAGTTTTTTATTATGTTACTTTTTTTGGAGATGCAGAATAATGCAACTATTGTTTTGTTTTGGATAGTGAGTAGCTATTAGTGTAATAACTTAATAAAACAGAATTACAAGCATGGGAGATATATTGCCTTAAGCAGATCCTTCATAGCCAGGTAAGAGTCTAGGATAAACTTTAATGTTTTTTTTATGCCCCTTGTAAACTTTAATCCAGGAAGGGTATAGGCAACAACTCTCTAGGGGCTCTGACACCTTTCTTTTGCATATATGGCTTGTGGAATGTAGGATCTTTATACTAAACAGGATGTTCAAACTTTACATGATGAAAGTTGCAGAGTGTTTTAGAGAAATCTAAAACTGCACATGTTTAACAATGAATAGTTTAGATCAAGTCAGCAGCAGAGCATAAGCCAACAGCTCTATATGAAATTCTACTTCTTCAGGTGCTAGCATGCAGAAATTTCTTTGTCAGCGCTGTGTTGGTAGAAGTTTTGGATCCCAGATGCTCTGCTCTGCAAAATAACTGTAAAATGTTTCCTCTGCAAAATAACTTAGTAGTCTTACTCCTGTCTCTTAAACACAACCAGCAGAGGTCCCATCCTTAGGTCCCTCAGGCTCCGACAGTTCAAACTACTTCCCAAGAAGAGAAAATAAATGAAGGAGGAGCACTGCTTAACTCTTGATTGATATAGCTTAGTCTAAACACAAAGTAGTGCTAGTTTCATTAGGTTAAAGACAGATCATGTAGGTTTGATTAAAGAAGTCATTAGGACACTATCCTGAAGGAATAAAGCCCAGATTCTGGTTCTCCCCTCAAATTAATTTGCATTTTATCGTAAAATCAATAGAAAAGAAAAAGAACCAACCAAACAAAAAACCCAAACAAAAAGCCTTGCATGTTCTTAGAAAAGTGGCTACCAAGCAAAGGATAAAGAATGCAGTAGATGGAAAAAGCACCATTTATATGAGGCTTTATATATAGCTTCCATACTAAGCAAGCAGAGCTTTTGTTTATTCAATAGTAGACTAAACTATATTTGGTGATGCAATTGACAAAACAAAATTTAAAGACAGAATATCAGACAGGCAAAGTAATGGTTCTGTGAAAGACAGATACTGTCTTCTTGTTCTTAGGAGCAGTGACTTTGGTCATATTTTTGGCCATTCACCGATACTTTAACTTTTAGCAAGCTGCTTCTCCTTCTGAAGTTTCCTGATCTAAAAGATTGTGACTCAGAAAATGAATGTGTTGCAATAAACTGTTTGCATTTTAAAGAAAATGAGTAAGCTTGTGTGGTTGTAAATATCTTGTTTTTTCTGGAAATCCTTCAGCTCACATATATGCTTCTTAAAAATATATATTTTGGGAGCAAACATTGTAATTGTGTTATGATGCCAGAGGCCAATAAAATGACCATCGATTACTAATAAAATAAAACCAAATGTGAATAAATATTTTCTAATGAATATGCAGTTATTGTCTGTGTGAAATGTGCTTGTCTAAGAAAGTTCTAGGTTACTCTACTATAAATGATGGAATGTGTTGCTTCGTAGCTTGATTTGTATTAAGCTTCTCGTAACAGATTATCTTAATTGTTATATGTACTTAATTTTTTTCTGTTCCTGCAGCTTATGGAATCCATTGTGTTACCATGTCTAACACTCTTACGCAAACTTGTATATGCTGATCCAGTTGTTCGCCTGTCCCTAGCACAGCAATCATCTTTACTGCTTTTGCTATTCAGAGGTAAGGATTCTATTTCGACTTCGGTACATGTGTGGAAAGAAAATGTGTGAAATATGGTTACCTGTTTAACCAAAAGCCTTCTTAAGAACCTTGGATCACTTCAGAGTCTCTAATACTTAAAAGAAATCATTGTGTTCTAGTGTACCCATGTTGTGTCATCTGTTGAAGGTGTTGGCAAAGTGACTGTGGAAATAAGTTATTTTTAACCAATGTCCTTCTATGCATTATTAAATGTAAATATTTTCCTAACACATTTTGCAATATGTTTATTTTATTCAGTTTCCCTGCTATTCCAAAATGATCGTGCTGTTTTAACTGAAGCTACAGTATTACTTTGTCTTCTGTTGTTTGATGAAGTAGCAAGAACAGAAATGTGGTATGAAAAAACAGTTATTTAATGGCATATTCTCTAGTCAAAATTTAAGGTTTTAATGAAAATAAGGTTTTTTTTTATAGATATATATGTGTGTATATATATCTTCAAACAAATTATGCCCCAAAGTTTTATATATAGCCAAAATTGCATATTTGTAGGCCAAACTAATTGTTTCAGTATTTGGGTTCTATGCTGTATAGGTCTACCTGGCATATTTTTGCAGTATAAATACTTTATACCTCAGTTTACTTTAATTTTCAAAAAACCGTGATTGGTCTGTAATCCACCTTTTCCATAAATGGAAGTTGCACAAATAAATAGCTAACTGTAGGTGTGGTTTTTTTAAACTTAATTAGAATACTCCTATTTATTTTGGCTTTTAAGTGTAGCAGTTGTTGTTAAAACAACAAACCTCAGTTTATGTTATTTTATTATTTGAAATTTACATATACTTCAGAAAAAAATAGGCTTTTAGAATTCACACACATGAAATATACTGAAAAGAATTATAATGCATACTTTTTCCCTAATAGAAAAAAGGAAACAAGCACGTGCTTTGGTATGTTATCTTTAACTTCATTTTATGTGCAGTACATCTGCAAGAAGTATTCTGGATGTGTGTGATCTAAGAACTATCTTCATACTGCATAATAATGAAGAAACATATATAAAGAGCTAGCTGGAGTTAAAAATACAGCTATATCTGAATAAAAAAGAAATAATAAGTGTAGCATTAGTAGAAAATCGAAGCTTAAAACAGGGAATAATAACTATAAATTAATCTCTTGCAGGACTGATGGCATAACTATTAACGATACTGGCCTACCTGGCTTCAGTTTACCTGTTGCTGTTGTGAGGAGGTATGTGTGGGTGGTTTGGTGTTTGTTTTTTTGTTTTTCTGCTTAACTTTGCTTTCTGTTTGCTGTCCTTCCTGAAGTATGGAGGTGGGAGAATGAAGGGAAACATTTGATGTTAAATAAAAAGATGTTTGCATTTTTAAACATAGAGTTTTTTCTCCAAGTCTTTGTTCTCTGAAAAAGAGTTTCAAAAACTTCATTTAAAAATTTAAAAGCTTGCTCTAATGGAGCATTTAATTAAAAAAAAACCCAAACGCCCTCTCCCCCCCTACAAAACAAAACAAAACAACAACCAATCAAAAGCAAACACTTTTCCAATTTTTTTTTTTTTTTTTTTTTTTAGGTATCATCTCCCAGTCAGGATCACTGCTCATCATGTAGTTAGCCCTAATACTGTTGTGGTGCCGTTGTCTTCTGAGTGTTTGACTATGAAACCTGTGTTAGATATGCTTAAGATGGCTTGGAATCTGTCGTGGTACCATGGGATTGAAAACCTATTGCAACTGACAAATTATGAGAAGGAAGCAGAAACGTGAGCCATTTTATCTTGATTTTAAATCCCAATATATTTCAGTTAAATCAGCCTTATGTCAAGTTTAAATGGATTTTCAACTTCAAACAGCATTTCAAGTTTTTACTGGTTTGAGAATGCTGTCCTTTTAAACAGAAAGGATCATATCCCAAGTGGCTACAGATATGTTGTCACAGCTAATGTTTTACTTAAATTGCATTTATACATAAAGTCTAGAGCCTGATCATGGTCAGACTAATTTAGAACAATTTTAAATGGGATCTGTGGCTATTTTTCTTGTAGCCATTGTGGGTTTTTTTAGGGAGCTGCCTTTTTACACCTTTGTAGTTGCATGACTTTTTCTCTTCTCTTTCTTTCCTTGGGGCTTTAAATTTCAAATAATTATTCTTTTTAGTGGTAGTACTAAGAATTATGATAGATAATGAAGAAAATTGCCTTTATATCCTTTGGTTAGCTTTTGATTAAGCATCATTTCTCTCTTTGAGACTATTTTGTGTACAGAACTCAACATCTTAAAAGATTCTTGATTCAATGTGACTGAAATGCTTGTATCTATATCTCTGTCCACCTTGACAATTTTTCAGTTTTTGCTTGTGTCCTTTAAGGCATCCTACAAGTTTTATTAGCAAACAGTATGGTTCTGAGCTATTTGAAACTTCACAGTTGTTGATTTGATAAATCATATTCATTTTAAGTTCCCCTAAGCAAAAACAAAGCAATATCTTAAAAAGACAATAGTATAGTTCAAGTGGCCAACATTTACAGTAGCATGGAGGCAAAGTTCATTACAAGCAATGTGAATAGTACCTTTCAAGTAACTTTTTGAGAGGTGCCATTTTTCCAAAGAACTCAAACAACTCAGGATTTAAATGTGGTGCATTGTTTGTTGTTGTTGGTTTTTGTGTTTTTGGAGGAGGTGGGAGAAGGAGGAGAAGAGGGTTGGTTAGCAAAAATAAGTTTTTAAGGCAATTTGTATTTTGTCCTCTCATTTGAACCGGGAAGTGAAGGAGTCAACACTCACTGAAATAGTTTGTAAAGGTACTGGCTCTTAATAATTTTTCTCTTATATCTTTTCAGATTTTTAGACTCGCTAAAACTATCCTCAGAAGACATTCTTATACTCAAAATAACCCACACAAACTATGGACTGCAAGATTGTCTTAATTCAATCATTCAGGCAGTATCCCACAGGGATGTTAGGGCTGCTCTCACTAGGCTTAGTTTTTATGCTCTGAATGACAGACTTGCATTAAAATGCAGTTCTGGGTCGTGTGGAGACACTTTGAAGAGCTTTGTTTGGCAAAAAGCAATAAACAGGTAAGCACGCTGGCTACAGAAATCCATTTATGATACTTAAATTGTAAATTTCCTAGTCTTCATCTTTTCAAATTTATGGAATTGATTGTGCATGCACCTCTGATTCTGATAGAGATATATATATAGGTAGGTATGTTCATTCCGTCTGCTGGAGAGACAACAGCAGCAGCATATAACAAATCCAGGAGGTTCCTGGAGAGCATGAGTGACAACTTCCTGATCCAGGTGACAGAGGAGCCAATGAGGAGAGGTGCTCTGCTGGACCTCATGCTCACAAACAAGCAAGGGCTCATTAGAGATATGAAGTTCTAAGGCAGCTTTGGCTGTAGTGACCATCAGGTGGTAGAGTTCAGGATCCTGAGAGGAGGGAGGAGGGCAAAAAATAAGATCACAGCACTGGATTTCAGGACAACAAACTTTGACCACTTCAAAGATCTCATTGCTAGTGTCTGATGGAATCAGGCCCTGGAGGGAAGAGAGATCCAAGAAAGCTGTTTAATATTCAGTGATTGCCACCTCCAAGCTCAAGAGCAGGAAGTCAGGCAAAAATGCCAGGAGGCTTGCATATATGAACAAGGAGGTCTTGGCAAGACTCAAAGATAAAATGGAAGTCTGCAGAGGGTTGAAGTAGGTACAGGTAACTTGGGAAGAATATGTAAACATTGCCCAACTGTCCAGAGGTGCTGTGAGGAAAACTGAAAACCCACTTGGAATTGAATCTTGAGAGGGATTGTCAAAGGCAACAAGAAGGGCTTCACATAGGTGACTAAAGGAAGGCTA